GATCAGCGTACACTCGGTTGCATGTTTCGTAGGGAGCTTGAAGTCCTATTTTAGTGCGCAAGCGTTCTTGGTTTCAACTGCGGCGACCGGCATGTGAACATTTTCTCAGCGTTGGTTTGACAAAATAACAGTCAGGTTTTTCTTGTTGCAGATCAACCTGCAGCGCAGGTGTCAAACTCGAGGCCCCAGGGGTCAGATCTGGCCCGCCACGTCATTTTATGTGGCCGGCGAAAGCCGGTCAAACATGTCAACTTCAGAGGTGCCACTGTAAATTCACAAGTGTGCAAAAAGTGTTACGGGACTAACATTGAAATAGCAGTTGATAGTGAACCAAAGTGGGGTTTTAAAGAGACAATAATGTCCATAAACAAAAACCAAAAAAGCTGAGTGCTTACATGAAATCGCAGCCAGCGAGCTTGACAAGCAAAAGACTTCCTTTTTAACCGGGGGGGGGGGGGTGCATCGGGACTGCGGGCGGGTGTTCCTACGATCCAGTCGGGGATCTCTCCTTGGCACAGATGAGCGAGCCAAGTCGGGGACGAGACAGCTTGAAGGCCAGGATATAGAATGACGTGTAAGGGCCAACTTGATCCCTCCACACGTTGGGTTCCTCTCCACCGGTATGCACAACATCGATACAGACAATGTCGAGAAAACATGGAAATGTTGGTCTGGGGATGAATGTGACAGCAGCTTCGGTGTGTCTGACAGGAGCTGCTTAATGAATCCGCGGTTGGAATTTTTTTCCTTTCGCTGTCATTCTGTCTATTTTGGAGGTTGGGCTGCAAAATGAAATCCAAGACCCAACCTGTCGAATTCCATGAAAATCTGTCAAAGTATTCTCATGTTATTTAGAAACATGCACACATGCACACACACACACACACACACACACACACACACACACGATTCCCTTCTCGGGGAAGCATGGTTAGAATAAGCAAACAACATGGTGATTAAGATGAGACTACATTTGTTTCGAAATGCAAAAGGTGCACAGGTGGGCACAGCCGAATCGGCAGAATTGGTCCTCTGTGTCAGCGGTGGCGGGGGAGTCTCCTTTGAGCGCCCGCAGAAGCGGGATGCTGCGCGTGGGTCGATGCCGGGTCACTCATGGTGCTTGCTGTCACGGTGCCGCTCGACTTTGGCGGGACGCTCGCTTTTGCCTGGCTTTGATTTATTCTAAAAAAAAAAAAAAGTTAATCTTAGCGTCTTTTTTTCGCCTGCCTGGTATGATTTGTGCAAGTCAACACGGTGAAGCCACAAGAATAAACCACTGGTTAAATTATGACCCCAGAAAGGATGGATCCAAACAGTCAAGGGCCCTCTTCATAAATCACTGTGATCGATTGATTTTTTGCATTGGGATCGGACCAAGCGGATGCACCGCAATCAAGTGGCCCGTGAATGCACGTCAATTAAGGTGTCTGAACATTTGATCAATTTGCCCTACCGCTGCTGTAAATTGCGGCTTTATACGGTAATCCTGCCGCTTTATTCTCTTTAGGACTTCTAAGTGATGCACCGTTTTGTCGTTTTAATGGGAATTTATCCCCAACCATTTATTTCTGTGGCAGCCGTGTACTGAGCTGATGATGTCGCGCTAAGCTGGACCATTCTAAATATTTGCTGTCTGCAGGACGCGAGGCTTGGGAAAATGTTCCTTCTCACCCCAGGTTGTAATTGTTAAGTTTACACAAGGAAAAAAAAACATGATAGAGATGCGTATTTGTTAATTGCTTACCTGAATTGCGGAAGTCTCATCAGTTCTGTCCTGCTGGGGGGGAAGCTTTGTAAACGTTCAAGGTCAAGGCCAACAGCAATCTGCAAGCTGCATTCAGATGGCAACCAAAGCTCAGGCTTGCGACTGCTTTCAAGGAAATGCAAATCTGAACTGACACCAAAAGTGGAAGGAAAATATATACACCCTGTCACCAGTCATGTCATTTTCCGAACCTCCCGTGAAGAGAAAGGTTGGCGAAGAGAACAGCCAATTTTTGTTGCTGTTGCGCACAGGGACAAGCCGGCATGTCTTGTGTGCGTAGAGAAAGTTGCAATGCTCAAGAAATCAGATGTCAGCTACTTAACTCGACACGCTGAGGAGGATGCAAAGTAGCACGGGGATGAGAGGTGTGACTGGGCCTGAACTGTTATTCATTGATTGAGAAGATTAGATTACATAGTTGTGCTTTAAAAAAAAAAAAAAAAAATACTTGAACCCCTTTTTTTGTGGAATACTTGATGCGCCCCAGCGGCCTCCACATAAGTTGAGTTTGAGACCCTTAGAAGTATATGCCCCATTTCAAGTCTTCGCTTTCAGAATCGGATACTCTACTTTTAAGAGAGTGTAAAAAAACAAACAAAAAAACCCAAACATAATCCAGACAGCACAATCCCAATCAAGCAATAAATTCATGTTCCGTACAGATCAAAGATGACTCGAGGACAGAAGCGAGGGGGCGGGAAAAGATTCATAAACTGGAAAAGAGGTGGAAAATAATTAATTCTTTAGTAAAAAATACATCAATTCGGCATCAATTAACTCCCCATGAACATGTCTATCATCCGAGCAGGAAAAAACAAAACCATCTGTTCAGTTGGCATCGAAGGAAAAAAAACTGGGGAGCAAAAAAATAATTAAAATACGGGGACCAATGAGGCATCGGCAAATGCGAGGGGAGAGCTCGAAAAACACTGTCAAAAACATTGAAAATGTGCATCACATAACGTACATGACAGAGTTGTCAAACACCTGCGAGGGGCTGATCATCACAACGCAAGGTTGATTGATCTCAGTCCTTCAAAGGCGTCGACAGCAGCTCGCTTTCAAGACAAACACCACCGACATACCGCGGAGTGCACCAAAACGTCAGGCTGGGGAGAAATCCGTGTGCAAATTAATGCCAACTTCCTTCTTTTTTGAAAAAGGGACAACTTGCCACTCCAAACGCGTGACAGTGAATAAGGTATTTTACTTTTTTTTCCCTCCTTCTTCCGACGCGTCCCAGAGAGGCAATAATGGAAGCTTTCCGTTCCCCACGGCCGGACACGAATGGACGCGCTCGGTGGCCGACGCGGTTTCTACGGCGGCCATATTGCTCATGGGAGAACGTCTTGACCGACTCACTTTTGAGAGATGGCAACTAGCGGTGTTTCGATCGATCGGCCACTGGTCGCGAGGAGTTGATTTCCATGGAGAAGTCGGTGATCGGAATTATCGATCAATGCTTTTTCATTGCCGATCACAAAAACCGATCGCCCGTCGTACTTTGCAGATTGCAGCACGAATGTGTACAACGTAGCGCCCCCTCCTGCTTTACTTTAACGCTGCACGTTACAGACCAGTTACTTTATCATCATACGTGTTTTGAAATAATGTCCTGTTTTTAAGTAATGGAGGGGTGGAAATTTGAACAGAATGTTTTATTTTTTTCTGTGATTAATCAATTAATAGGAAAAAATAATTGACAGATTAATCGTCTATTTCAATAATCACGCTAAAACCGAAAAATGTGCAGAGAATCCATGTGATCGGAACACCCCTCATGGCAACAAATCGAGGGGGTCAGTTGGAGAAAGGAGGACGCGGGCATATTGTTTGTGTTTTGATGACCACATGAAAGTGAATTTTCGAATCCCCAAGACCTTGAGCGTCTCTTGATTTCCTTTTCTCTTTGAACAAAAGGGGCCCCGTATTTACCACGTTGGATTGAGCTTGATTGAAAAATAAATCTGAGGTTTCATCAGATAAATTGATGATGGCAAAAATACGGAGTGGAAATAAAAAGGCTTTATCCCTCCCATTCAAATGCCACGAGGCCCCAAAAAATCCTTTCAAAACTTTTTCTCCACCATTCATTTGACTTATAACCTGTACAATTCAATTGAAAACAAACAAAAACTTTTCAAGCCACGCCTGCCACCATTTCAAGTGTATATTGTTTTGTATTTAATGCCTTTAAAATAGTTTGGTACCCTTCACCTTATCGATTGCTACCTGTGAGCAATGATGAGATCCCTCTGATTCTGTGGAAGCTCTCGGCAGACGCTTGCGCTGTTAGATGGGATCATAATATAAAATACATCAAGTAATGAAAAGTCTCAATAAATAAATGTTAAAAAAAAACAGCTAATTGCAAAAAAACTTTTTTGGGCGAGGGGGGCTAAAACATTCATTTCAGATGGAACAACTTTAAACTATAAAGTACTAACATTTATGGCTGAAATGTTACTTAGCACAACAAACGTAAGTTGTTGTTTGACAGGGGACAACTAGGCCTGCAATCTCTGATTTTTTTTGTTGAAAATGAGTGAAATTCAATGTTCACGTGAGCACAAATATATATATTTTTACAGTGTTGTACTTGAACAAAGCTGTGTGGAGCACTTGTGGTTTGAAAGTAATGAGAGGAAATAAATGAGCTGCTATTATTGGGCGCGCATCGTTCCGGCAGACTTGGCAGATGAAAACCTTTTGAATCAACTTTTGGGAGCTCATTATGCGTGAATTCTTTTGACCACTGTAGCCACCCATCTCAACTTGGAATCGAACCCCCTGCACTCAGATACAGTGTTGATGTGTGTGGTATATCAGGTTTGGGGGGTTTTTCTGCTCAACTTTATTTTCCCGTGCAGGAGTTCATCAGCCAGTATTTGTCCTGATGTCCCTGTGCCTTTTTTTGTAAGACGAACCAAGCGGATGAATTTCTTGAGCAATGTGGCCTGCACACAGAAATCGATATCTGACAATTGAGAGGTGCGGTTTGACACTGTAGAGCATAGGTGTCAAACTCAGGTCGTGGAGGGCCGCTGTCCTGCATGTTTCCCAAGTCTCCCTGTTGCAGCACACCTGATTCAAATGATCAGATCATCAGCAAGCTCTGCGGAAGCCTGACATTGAACCTGTTCATTTGAATCAGGTGTGTTGCAACAGGGAGACTTGGAAAATATGCAGGACAGCAGCCCTCCAGGATCTGAGTTTGACACCTATGCTATAGAGATTTGGTTTAAGACCAAATTGCATAGTCCGAAGGGTCGCAAGGGATGGTCCACAGATGTTTTGGTGAGGATGAAGGAAGTTCCAATCAAAGTTCTGCAGCCCGAGAAGTTTCCTTACAGCCTGCAAAAATGAGGAAGCTTTGAATTAAATTGTGGAAAAAAAGAAAAAAGTACACAATCTGAAGCTCACTTCAATGGAAGTCACCCTGACCAAGAAACTTCAAACACCGTGTCTGATACAGCACAAAGACAATTAGATGACAATGGAACACATTTTCTGCACAACCCTTGTGCTTTCCCCCTACGTGTGCTCATAAAATCTTATTTGATACGACAACATAAAATAACCAACAACGACGGCACTCTTTCAAGACCAAACTATGCTAAACATGCACACGTTTATTCCTCATTTATTGTGCTGGGCAGTACTATTCCATTCCAGTCCTGCAGGTGGCAGTCATGTGAACAGGGGTTTAAAAAAAAAAAAAAAAAAAACAGCTGAAAATGTGTATTTGAAACTCAAGAATCACCCCGACGTGGGAGGGAACATTCTGCCCACACATGGTTCGCTAAAGTGGCAATGAGCAAAGTGAGCGGTACCTCTGTTGTGTTGCGGATCCGTAGTCATCCAACATGTGAGTACCGGCCAGCTCCAAGTTCCAGTCGCACGTCTCGAGCAGCTTGAGACACTCGGGCCGGCTCCTCAGACCCAAACAAAACAACTGCTCCACCTGCGGACAAACAAACAGACCACTGGTGAAAAAACTTGGGGGGGACGAAGAGGAGGCGCTTTTGTATTGTCGGACGTGACAACCGAAATAATCGCTTGCTTGCAGCACATCTTAAAACTGCTTCTACACAAGAATTGTTTAGATTGAATCCGAGACCTCTTGTTCACCTTTTTCTTTATCCTCTTAACTTTTTGCTGGTTATTAACAAACACGTAATTGCTCCCTGGAGTTCTTTCCGAGCCAGTGGCCACACTCACACACAGACCTTTCATTTTGAGTAAGTCGAGTGCACAGCAGATGACGAGAGAGGAGGGAGCGGCAGAGAGATTTGCAACCTGCTCATCGCAGCCGCAATGGCCTAATTTTCCCGCAAGGCTCAACAAAGCCCCGTTACAGACGAGGAGGAATCCACTTTGACAAAAAAGTGGCAAACATCAGCTTTCAATGATTGCTTGTTTGCGGTTACAGTTGCTGTCCATGAAAATGTTCTTCCTCGGAATGGCACAAAAGTTGACCCAAAATGCACCAAACTGCAAAGCACTTTAGCGCTAAGGACTGACGTTCCCTTGCTGCATCACAAACATGACCGCTATTACAAAGGACCTTTATTTTTGATGGATTATACCAATACTTGGATATCCTTTGGGACTTTTGTTAAAAAGTTTGCAATCTTGCGCTGTGAGGTGAGAACTATGACTGTGTCGTTATGGCTGATAATTTAACCGAGCGAAAACCATTCAAAACCCTGAATGACAGCAGCAATGCTCTCGAAGAAAAAGATTTGAGAAATTTATGGTTATCTTGTTTTTGATAACTTTCTGGAATAGCATATTGAGCTCCCACTGAATGTTTGGCAAGCCCAAATTGCTGCCCATCTTTAAAACTTGTCTTAAAACTCATTTTTATTCTTTGGTTTTTGACTCTGCATTAGACTTGATTTTTAGTTTGACCAGTTTTGTGCTTTCTACCGTCTTTGTTATTCATTTACTGTTTTATTGTTGTGTTAATTATTTTTGCTCCACGTACAGCACTTTGTTTACAGCGGTGGTTGTGAAATGAGAGGATTGCCCACAACTTCAGCAATTAGCTTTGTTTTCACCCCCCCCCCCATCCCCCCTTGAAAATTCTGGATATTCTGCAATAAAATGCCACTTTATTTATATTGTGCATTTCACAACAGCTGCAACGAAGCACTTTACATCTATTATTTATCAAGAAGTGTCCCTACCTTCAGATAATGCACAGCTTTTTCAATATTCCAGTTGTGGTTCTGGAGGGCAGTTTGGCACTCTTCTATCGTCACGCCGTGAACTGCCTCCTGCACCTGTGGGACACAATAAATACAGCCAATCAAGAATGAGAATGTACAATTTATCAATCGCACAATAAAAGATGAATACAAGAATCTGCCGGCACTAACTAAAGTATTGTTGTGATTAGCGGTGCAAGTACCATATCGTGAATGTAAGGGGGACAAAAATGACGCCATACAATCGCGGGAGGTAGTGGGGGTGCGTGACGGGCATCGGGGTTGAATCCTTCCCGTATAAATAAAGCAAATATCCAAGTCTGGAGGTGGACTTTGCCACCTTCACAACTATGTGACGTAACCCTATTTGCTCTTTGTAAAGGACAGTGAGCACATTTGGCTTCCTCCAGCGCCTCATCATGGAGAGGATTATAATGCAAGTAAACATGGACGTCGCTCGCGATCGACGTGAAACACGAGGTGCATTCAAACCCAGGTAATTTCAAAATCAGTGGAAGACTCCAACGCCTTAAACGACACAATATGTATAGAATGTGGGCTTTCTATCAATCTACTAAAGCCTTACCTTCCGTAGCAGTATAGAAGTCTATTCGTGTATGGCTTGTTTATAACAGCCCTCCAATATGGCCGCCGGTAGTGCATTGTGGGTAATTGCTAAAAGGACGGAGCCCTCTATACATGTCGTGAATTGTAGATTAATAGCGGAAGCTATGTCAAAGATGTTCTTCACAATATATGCTTTATGTAGCCCCACTAGTCCAAACACACAATTCAGATTATGACTGCGTTTGTGAAATAAGAATGAAGAAGCAAATTCCATTCATTTGATAAATCTTAGGGGGCGGCCATTTTGCCCACTTGCCTTCGCTTGAAAATGACATCACATTTGCTCAGATAAGGACCAATCACGGCTCAGCTTGCGACTGTCACGTGACCAATGTTATGATTTCAGCTTTACCACTGGAATACTACAGTATGTTAAATATTCAACTTATTGTAATATCGTATATTTGACATACATAATTATAAATATCATACTGAATTCAGCAACGTGCTGAACAAGACTATCAATGTACAGAAAACAATATTACTGTACTTGTCATTTCTTACTAGAATGCTTTGAACATCACAAAATGACTCCTTAAACACGATGAGATACAGTACTCTTCGTGATTGGCTTTGTCATTTGGCATGGCAAGCGAAGACATCTTTCATCGCCTTACCACTTTGACTCTGTCAGCTGAGTTTTCCGATGCGTTTGCCGTGGCACAATAAACGGTGCCCGCCGGTGCTGTCAAACTTTCTGTGCAAACACTCGTCCACGGTCCAAGATTGCTGTTATTGTTGGAGGACAAATGAGTCTTCAGCTCACCCAGTGGGACGATCCCCTGTCCCTGGGCCTGCCCCTGCAAAGTGCTGAGCACCATTGGTCGGACGGTAGCGGTGTTAGCTTGCCGTACGCGTCTGCCCTCCACAGTGCTGCCAGTCAGGCTCTCGGCCTCCCTAAAGAAGCGGTCGTATTTGTCAAGGTAGGGCGGCCTCTCTGGCAGGAGGTAATAGTGAGTGTTACTGACTTTTCGTCCGTCACGGACTATGGGGAGAATGCAGGGGCTCTTGTTTACAAAGTCCGTCCCCTGTGCCTGGATCACTTTGGGTGCAGCGTATTTGGGATCTGAAGCAAAGCTGTGCGTAGTCGGCATCAATTTACCTGGAGAGGTGGAGAGGTAGGAGCTGTAGGCGTGTGAGGAGTGGCAGGTTGTAAGGGCAAGGGACACGGTGGTGGGACTGGCAGAGTGGACTCTCTGCTGTGGGGAGCCCGCCTCCAGGCCTCTTGGGCTGGGAGTCCTGGAGCCAGGCTGTGACAAAGGTTCCCTCGGAGGGATTTGCGGTGGCCGGTCCTGCTCCGAGCTGGAAATGTCTTCGGGGACGTCGGCCGGGATCAGGGAGAGAGAGAGGTCCCTCGACCAACGAGCAAAGGAGTAGTCGCCCCTTTTTATTGGGCGAGGGGGAATAGGGACACGAGGGGGCACCTGGGGTCTGTCCTCAGCAGAGGACTGGTGTGCCTGCAGACGTGAGGATGAACTCTGAGATGTTGGCACATTCAGCCTCCTCATGCAATCATGCTGGAGTTGCTGGAATATTTCGGCAGATTGGGAGAAAGAGGTAGTCGGGCCCCGGCTGTGCTTGCTGGGGAGAAAGAGGTTATCGTCGAGGCCTGGTTTGTCTGTAACTCTGGAGACACGGCTCACACCCTCCACTTCCTGTCCAGAGGAGAGATCCTCCTCTGGGTTACGAACATTCTTCTGCTCGTCACTGTGCTGCCGCTCCGTGCCGTTGATGGAACTCACCTAAAATGGAAAGGAAAATGTATGTATGTGCATTGAAAAGTGTTATTAAATATGGTTCTATTATTCCGCAAGGGAAAAGTGTAATGAGACACATTTGTTTACTTTCTACATGGTGTGTTACTGATACAGACTTCAATAAACACCCCCCCGCACACACGCGTGGAGAAGAAATCGAGTCACGGCACAGCATGCATCAAGAAAGCGTTTCAGCAGGGCGGCTGCACAACAGTGAGCAATTAGGTGATTTATTTATTTTTCCTCAAGGGCACCTCAGCAGGGCTCAGGAAGCAGACTGGCATTCTTCAACAACCACTATAGACTTGGCATCGAGCCGCCATCAAGCTTCGTCATTACAGGCCGAACTACACGCGCCCAATCCAAAGTGCGAATAGGCCCTTGAGCAATGGCTTTGGATGCCGTGTTTTGTCCACTTTTTTTTTTCTAGGGTGCTTCACATTACTGTCAAGCAGAGGGGTGACAAAGTTGGCAGCTGTGTGAAAGGGAATGACTAAATGCCGGTACAGTGCTGTGACGCCCAATTCCTTTTCTATATTGCTTGTCCTGTGCAGCAGCCGCTCAAAGCTGACTGTGGGGAAAACTACATCCGGGACTAAACATATTCTACTCGTATAAAGTTCGGGCTATTGGGCTGTCGGGTGACATTTCAATAGTTAATGACAAGTGTACTGTATGACTTAATCACTGACAGTATTTTGGAGTTCCATATGTACATGTCGTCTGCCGTGATAGCGAAAGCAATGAGCATGTCTTCTCCGTCTTTGTCCCTCTGCTTGTTTCATGATAACGATACGAGTCAGGAGTATAACTTATTCGCTGCCGCGGATTAGATGATTAGTGACTTGTTCTGTGTTGACGGTGGACGCGAAGTGAATTTGCGGCTCCGCATCGTGTTTAGCCGGGTGAGCTAGCGAGCCGTAGCTCCAAGGGAGCATGAAATTCGCCATCCAGCTTCTTCATCGCGGACAGCAAGTTGTGCGAACAAAATGTGTTCAAAAGATTAGAGAAGGTCAAAAGTGAGTTCAGCCGCAAAGGTCAAAATGCATCTTAGGTTGATCCTGAAATTTCACCCGACATCCCGATATTCTTTTTGTTGAGTCGTGTATGGCCAGACAGCAATCCCACTACACCGTCACAAAGTGGAAAGTGAATCCATGCTGCGTGCACGCACGTCAGGCAAGTTAAGCACAACGGTATCGGGACTGTGACATCCACACGCAAAACTCGCTGCTGTCGTCATGCAAAATGTTCTGATTCGGAAATGTGGTGTCGCTATGTAAAAGCGACCTTGGCTGGTTGCTGTGGAAATGGCAAAAGTGGCTTTTTGCCAGATTTTGTAGTACGGGTCTGATATAAAGGAGGCTCTTATCATTATTTCGATAACAGCCTACGTGTACTTCAGTGACACTCATATATGGATTGCGGGAACATGTCCTACCGCACCTCCATATCGTCTTCATCTTGCGCTACATCGTCATACGCCGGGGGCGGGGGTAAGGGCCGTGCATCCCAGTCCATGACCGGCGTGGGGTGAAGAGGGCGGGGTAACGACTTGGAGGGACTCTGAGGAGGTGTCCGATCCAAGAGATTCTCTGCTCCCAAAGCCAGCTTTGCGAGACTGGGGATTGCAATTTCAACCACAGGTGACGGGGAGGGTGTGGGCGAGGGCGAGTCTTCCCCAAAGTCAATGAGGGACACTTCTCTCCAGGGGTAGTGGCTTGACTCAAATGTCTTGTCCGTCCCCTGTTTGGAAGAAGAGATCCAGGCCGTTGGTCTAAGTTTGAGGCCTTTGACGGAGCTTGTTTTCCGAAGTGACCGCCTCTTCGGTCCTGCATATGTAAAGTCCTCATCCCGATTCACCGCATCGTAACAAGGCTCTGAGGAGAAACGTGTAAAATAATGAATGACTTTTGGGGGACTGGAGGATGAGTTCAAACCACAAAAATGCATCGTGCACAGCAGGGGCGCCTGATAGCAGGGTTCGGTGTTGGAGAAATAGTGATGGAATGGAAAATTAAAGTCACACCGCACAACAAGCAAACGAGAGGAGAAAAAAAAATACATCAAGTGTACCTTTGAAGAGTGGAGCTAGAAGGGAACAGAGAGGGCAGGAGCAATGGGTGAGGAGCTGCTGAGAGAAACCAGACTTACTCTTGAATAGCACTGCTGGTTGAGGAGGGCGAGGAGGAGACTCTTCTGGAAACAAAATACAGCCACCGCCGTGCAAAGAGTGAGAAGGAAAAAAGGGACAGCAAGTAGGTCAGAAAAGATGCCGTTCAAGCAAGTCAAAGAAAAAAAAAAAAAAGCACCTCAAAGTAAAAAAAAAAAAGGATATTCATGAGTCGAATGAATAACAGCAATTTGACAGGACCCTTGGACATGAATATCACGATAGAAAATATCTTCCAGAAACTTACACTGGAGAATCACATGTAAGTAATAGAAGTATCAGTATGATTCACCGGGGCCTCGAGCAGGTCAGATTGCTCAACCATCCGACCACGTTCGATCCCGCTCGTTCTCATTAGGATTCCATTCACATCTTGAGACAATTCAAGATCTTCAATTAGCCTACCACGCATGATATGGGAATGTGGGAGGAGGGCAGGTAACCCCGAGAAAACCCACACGAGCAAGGTATGTCTCGACTGTGACCCAGATTTGCATCCTGCTGACATAAACTTGCATATTTTTTTTTTTTTTTTTTTAGTACAAAACAATATCGTTTCAGCCATGACAAAGTAAAACAGCATCAATATGATCAGGAACCGATCTATCAACCTGAGCTGCTTTCGGCTATCCAACCCTGAAAAAAATCCAACCAAAGAAGGGACAGAACTGAGTCTCCAAAAAATAAGTGATGGTCACGACGAAATCATTTACTCACTTTTAGCTCGCCCTGGTAGCTGAGTGGGCCGAGCTGCACTGAGGTCCAAACCAAGAACATCAGGAGGATCCATTGGATTCCCAAGATACAACCTGGTCGGGAGAGGCGGGAGGGGGGGGGCAAGCAAGAGAGCGTTAGATGAGCAAGCAGCTTCTCTTGTAATGAGCTACTGCCATCTACCGGTCAAAGTGTCACAGTGTCACTTGAGTAGTCAATTTCCTGCTCCACAGCGCATGTCATAAGAGTATCGCTTGTGTTGAGCAGCATCTCTTGACCTCATTTCAAGTGAAATGTTAAGCCAACCGCAATCAAGCAATAAGCGGTGTTTACTCATCAATCCTGTCAGGGAAGCCCCAGCATCGATGAGGATCGGCATCTCCGTGGCCCGTGTGGATGAAGCTGTTCTTGAGCGGTCGGCTGATGTCATGATCGGACAAACCCGCCGCTGAGGTCACCACGTGCCTGGGAAACGCTCCCACTTTCAGAGTGCGCTTATTCTGACCTCGCCACCAATAGTTCTCGGCTCTGAAATATTACCAAAAAAAAAAACAAATCACAATGAAACTAATAGATACATTTTCTTCACAGATTAACAGTGCAACATTTCTATGAGATGCTCGAAGAATTAACCACTAATGACAAAGATAGCAAAAAAATAATAATAATTCAGGCCTTGCATGATAACCTCCGATTAAATTCGCTTGAATCAAACGCAAAAGCAGACAAATGACCTCAGAGGCTGGATCTGCACTATCCCGTGTTTTCACGTATTCGACACCTGAAAGGACAAAATGGCTCTCACCTGCCGTCAATGATTGTGATGACATCATCAATCTGGATCAGCAGCTTATCTTGCTCATCAAAGTCGTGCAGTGCGCACATGTCCGTGGGCATGCTCTGAAACGCAAAATATGCATTTCGGACACAAAGGCAAACGAGCAACACAGTATAACAAGGCATCGCCAAAAGAGAGCATCACACTGGGAAATGGTTTAGTCATGGCAGATATCGCAACTAAATCACTTTTATTCATGTGGGTTTATTCATTGAGTTATACTGGATGTGTGTTATTTCCATAAATGGCGGATCCGTCACTTCCTGTGTGTATTCGACTTTGTGACATATGCGCTTGACTGACGGCTACACTTTGGAGAGCATCAAAACGCTGAAGATTTCTAAATAAAGATATGAATAATAACACCATCTAATGACATAAATAAAAAGACAATCATTAACATGCAGAAATTTAGTGGGGGGGGGGGAAATTCCCGCTAAAATAATAAAAGTGTTTATTATGGTCCTATCAACTAATTCAGGTCTTTATCAAATCTAAAATTCGGCCCTGTGAATAATGCCCTATATTTTAACAAGTGCTTCAAGAGATGTCCACTAGGTGTCAGTAAAGTTCAGTTTATGTCATGCGGAGCACCAAGATGAGCATTTATGTGACTTTTCTGTGGTATGGTTGGAGTGTATGGATCACCCAAGCAAATAAGCAAAGTGTGTTCTAAAGCAGTTGCTTCAAAAAAATAAAGTGGCCACTTTACTTCAAGTAGGAACTCCCGCAGGGCTACAAAAGTAGGTCTGTCATCTGATTTCTGTGCCCAGCACTGCAACATGACATTGTAAATATCCGCCGGGCAGTCGTCTGGCATCGGGAGGCGTTCACTTTCCTTATCAATTTTATGCAGTATCTGGAGGAGGAGGAAAAAAAACCCGTTGTTGATTAAATATGCAAATGTCTGTTAGTATTTAGGTACCGGGAACTTTTGAGCCACACTTTCATTTATTTCACTCAATATTTATTCGCTGATCATATTGACCGCTCGATTGAAATGCTCGGAAATGCGTGCGTGGGTGTACCTGGCTCCCATTGAGGCCTAACCAAGGCTCCTGGCCATGTGTGAACATCTCCCAGAGAGTCACACCAAACATCCACGTGTCAGTGGCGTGAGAGAAGGTTCTGGTCTTGAGGCTCTCGGGGGCGCACCTGCAGGACAGAAAACAACTTATTTTCAACGGCATGCACACAGACAGGGAACAACAGATTAGCAAAAAAAAAAATAAAAAAAACAAACCCAAACAAAATGATTTTTTTTTTTGGAGAATTAAAGTCGAACAAATCAGGTAACTCCCAGTTCACTCACCACGCAAAGGGAACCTTTCGGTGTTCCTGCATGACATAATGCTCATGATTGTTCGGGAGTGACCTCATCAGGCCAAAATCGCCGATCTTCACTCTGTGGGCTGATGTCAGCAGGATGTTCCTAAAGAGACATTTTCACCCCCGTAACGCTGCATGTTAAATAACAACAAATGTGCAAGATAAAGTTCTACATGACTGTGAACATTTCTTTTTCTTTAAGATAAGATAAGATAAGAAAACCTTTATTAGTCTCGCAATGGAGAAATTCCCAATTCACAGCAGCAAAGTTATGAATGGAAGAAGTAGAACAACAAAATATAGGAGCTGCTGGAAAG